CATGCAAACAGAAACCCTGTCCAAAATTTACGACATCAATCAGACTAAAAACCAAACTTGCTTAATCTCATCATTAAAGTCATTAATACACAAAAACGTCTTAAACCTTAACAGAATTCACTAACACTGAAAGACTTCGCTTATCACCCACCTCTAACCAATACTTCCACTCCCGCAAAACGTTAACACTCTAACTGCTTTTCACATTCGGAACCATAATCGAACAATAAACGCTGTACTGACCCGAAATACTGGGCAACATTGCAGAAAAACAACATATAAATTGATTCCAAATACAAAGCAAAGAAAGCTAAAATAAGTAAAAAAAGGTACCGGCATAATGGCAACTATCCAACATTCGAATTACTTTTCTCGTCAAGAATTGTTATGCTTATAACAAATTGACATGAGGTTTACGAAAATTTCTTTGCTTCTCTACTGTATACTCTCTACTGTATAGCATCAACAATTGCGTTGCGTTTTGCGAGCGGCCAAAACGCTTAAAGCATTGTAGCAGTCAATACTGTATTGTACCATATCTGCTCACTGGTCGTCTCTCCGAAAACTATGGTTGTTGCGCGCGAATCTGTCCGTTCAAAAATTTTCCAGTTTTTCTTACTTAGTAAACGATCTGAACATATCGTAAGATTTACTGAGTGACAGAAACACTTTTGCATGAAATGCTGAAAGCAGTGAAATTTGCCTTTTTAACTAGGGAACAACTGTCAGGAACAAAGTATAATTTGAATGAACATTTAAACATGGGGTGGATCACTTAGGGCTAGATGAATTAGTTCATCTTCGTTATCGTTTTACTTGGTCTTGTTTTTCATGGTTAGTTTTGTCTCACGGAATTGGTGCTGCTGATGAACGGTTGTTATGGGTTGCTTTTAAACTTTTTATTGCACCACCATCGCTTTAAACGATAGAAACTTATTATAATTGTTAACTGTTATGCATTTTTTTTGCTGTGCTTCATAAAAGTTCCTAGCGCTACACACCAACTTTGAATAGGTTTTTTAGTCCTAGTCTCTGCAGATCTGTCCAGTTATTTTTGTTGCATGTTTCCGTTTTTTTCTGCATTTGAGCACTGATTATGTGATAAATTTGAGGAGTATTGTGTTTCTTTGTTTCGAGTTCCTTCAAATCGAATCGGTTTGATTGGATCATAGTCACTTTTTCCTTTCAGATTAATAAAAATAATTTGAAACATCCAAAGGCCTATTGAACTCATTTATGCTTTTTTACCGGACGTGCTTATTAAGGGATCTATGAGTAACAGGTCCTAAAGTTTTTGGCTTTTCTGTCCAGGGTCATTTTGAGTGATCGCTGATCAGTCCCTAAATATCCCGCCTTATTTCCTGGTCTTGTCGCATTTTCAATCTTCTTGGACCTTTGTTCCTCGATTCGTACCGTATTCCATAAGGTAGAACAGCTTTCTGAGCTTCCGTTTTAAATTATAAATGAATTGTAATATGGATTTAGTATCTTCTGTGTAATTTAAAGAAATATTAGAACATTGATAGGACGTTACGACTTTAACTTCACTGCAGTTGTCAGTGTGCTAGATTTGACAAGATGTGATGTATAACTAGTTCAGGCATTGAGCAACCTTATCGAAGGGTTACGGTGTCTGCTCCGTTACGGTAAGGTAACGAGATGAGTATGACACTACATCCGGCGGATATGCCGCACAGTGATGGCATTGTTTTTCAACAGCAAGTCGAAGGACAAATTGAGACGGACGATATAGGGCGCATGGAAGAGCAACTTATAGTTCCAAATGGATATGAAGAGCAAGAAGTTTGCTTTTATTCCACGATTTTCTTACCTTTGAGTTACCGATAATTTTCAAGTGTATATTTTATTTATTCGCCTGGTGGTTTTAAAATTTTATTCTATTTTTGTACTCATCGGTAGTTTTAACTGTTATTTTTGCTAGCCTTTTGCGTTATGTTAGGTTAAATGAATATCACTTTTCAGTACCATGTTGAGGATGATTTGACTCATACGTTACCTCCTCGAGCGGTTCACCAGTGCAACATTTGCAACAAAATTTTCGTTTCCTACAAGGGTACTTTCTTAAGTTCCGCTTCTAAAATTTTTCTTTTTGTTATCTTCAAGTATTTTTCGTGGAAGTGATTGTACCGTTTGCATTTTAACCACTTCCTTGTCCCGTTTTGTTTTAGGTGTATTTATTTTCAAAGTACTTGATTTAAAAATTGCTTGTGGATTTTGTTATATTTTGTTTTGTTTTTAATACTAAAACTCACTTGAAGGTGTTAAGTTCTGTTATCATTCTAAGTTTTTTTTTCTATGCTATGTGATGTTCAGGTTTACAACAGCATGCTGTTATTCATACCGACCAGAAACCTTTCCAGTGCGATGTATGTGGGAAGGCGTTTCGTTTCAAGTCCAATCTTTTTGAGCACCGGTCTGTACATAGTGGATACACTCCTCACGCCTGTCCATACTGTGGAAAAACCTGCCGGTTAAAAGGGAATTTAAAAAAGCATCTCAAGACTCATGTAACAACGAAAGAGGAATTGGAAGAAGCTTGGAAGCCTTTTGCTAGGTAGAGCTAACGTTATATATCTGTAATTGATTTCAGACGTTTTCGCGTGAACAATTTCTCTTTATTTCTGCTTTGAGTTGTTTTTTTTTTTTTTTTTTTAGGAGGGGGGTTGTTGGATTTGTTCGTGTAATGGCTACACTTGAAAATTGGATGAAATGCTTGATTGCTTATGTTACCTCACTTTTTTAAGCAATCGTCGGCCTCCAGCGGATATTCCTGATGATGCTATTATTGTTCGTAGTGGTGGTGAGACGTTCTTTACTCCTCCGAGCCGTCCGAGGAAGCGGAAATTGGGGCTTGGGAATGACCCGCATGTATGGATAGAGAAAATACGAAGGGGCGAAATTGTGCCTTGCGCTACTGTGTCAGAAAAGGTTCAAACTTTAATAACGTTTTTTTGCCGTTTTCTGCAGGAAAGTTTTGCAGAAGACTTCAGTTTGTTCTGAGTACTTGTATTTGTTGGGCTTTTATGGGTCCTTTATTCGTGCCTTTTGGTAAGTCAGAATTGGCATGCTGGTCATTTTTTACACAATAAGTTTTGTTTTAAATTTCTTTGCTTTTAATCTAGATGCGGAGGCTCTCTGAATTACTTAAAGCTGCCGAATCCGGTGGATTTAATATGGAAGAAGTCTTTGAACAAGCAAGAGCCTTGTCTTTCGAAAGATTTGATTGCCCGTTGTGTAAATCTGTCTTTATGTCAAAGATGGAGTGTATTGAACACTTAGATATAGAGCATCCCATGGCTAGGATGGAGAGGCCATTATTTTGCGAGGTAAAGCCAGTTCTTCATGAATGGTGCAATGTAGATATCTTGACACATTTAAAAAATATTTTTTTAAAACAGATTATATTATTATCGTTTTAGATTTGTGTAAAAACCTTCGTTGATCGGAAATCGATGGAGCAACACGAAAGCTATCATAAACGAGTACATCTTCTAATAGAGCAGGGGGACCTTGAGGTTTGTTTTTCCCAAAAATTTTTGCTTAATTTAAACTCATAAGTCATTTTTTGTACGCAGTAATACTTGTGATATGGTGAGATTTACTTCTACTTACTAGCTTTTTTAGATTGTCGAACCGGAGATTTTGTTGCCTGAGACTTGTGATGTAGTCGATGATGATGTGAATAACGTTTAATTTTAAAGTTGTTTGATTTACCACGTGCTAGTTGCCATTTCTGAAAACGGGATTTTTTCTTTATTTTGTTTAAAAATTGTTTTTCCCTGTAATGAATTTACGAATAGCTTGTTCATTCACTTAGTCTTATCTTGTATAGTTTTTATTATCTAGTTTAGATCCGTAAAGTCCTCACTTTAAACTTTGTATCTTTTACTATTTCAACATAGTGGTTTGTTGTAATTTTTAGATATAAGCACTTTGGTTTTTATTTTTTATTTGCGTCTAACCATTCATTACCTTTTTTAAGTTTTTTAGATGAGTGCAATATTTTTTTAGTTTGTCAGACTTCAGTTAAGGATTACCGTTACGTTGGCTGCTTTTTTGAAATCATTTGTTACTTGGTTTTGAGGAATTAGTTCTGGTTTTTTAACTGGGGATTCAATTTTTCTTTTGGCTTTTTGAAGCGTAAGCTTGGGCGCAGGCGCCATTCAAACTGACGTGTTTATTCGTTATTGATCGTGGGACATATTTTGTTGAAAGTTTAAGTCACGTTCAGCGACGTTGTGGGAATAAGTTTCAAGTGTTCGGGATTATTTTTTTTATAGTTATAGTGCCATGTGTTCTTCTAGGTGATGACGTGTCCCCGCAAAATTGGTTATTATTCTGCATTAATGTTCTTTTTGTTAAATGATTGTTGGCATTTTTGTCTTGTTTTTTGTTAGTGTCTTTGTAACAAATTTCAAAACAGTCACTTTATATGGTATGAGTGGTAGGATTAGTTTTATTTCTTCACTTGTTTTACTTGTTTAAGATTTCTCTAACTGTAGTTGAGATGCTTTACTCCTATATCGTTGGTCTTTAAATCGTCGGAATTGCTGACAGTTGATCATGATGGTATATATACTGTTATAAGGATTTAAAACTTTAGTCTTTTTTATAATGTTGTTACAATGAAGGGCACTGTAGCTGCCGTTGAGTATGGGTTGTTTGTATTCTGGTGAGATTTTACTATTTATGTTAACATAAATGTCCTTGATTTCTCATTTGCCAGCAGGAAGGATTTAATAGTCCCGTCATCAATTTGTTATTTTTCTACGTATTTCGTCTTTACATTGCTAGTTTAGGAAAACGTTAACGGTCTGCAGAAGCAAATGTGTTATTTCAAAGATAGAATTTGGCTACCTTGATAAAGTGATAAAGCTCTTTATAAAGCATCAGTGGTATAGTGGCGCATCATTGAATCTGTTCAGGAAGCACTGTTACACTGCGGAAAATTGTTGGTCGTCCACTACTCATGAGTTATTGTGTCATTCCGTCATCGCATTAGTCAGCTCTATTAGGCTTGTAGGTTACGAGTATTTTGTTTGTTAGGTCCTGAGTGGCTTTAAATTTAAACTCTTGGAGTTCATTTTTTGAGGGTAGGTATAGTTTATTGTCACAGAAACTTTTTGATAGGGTCGTTTCTGATTTTGCAGGTGACCGCTTTAAAGGTGTTCACTTTTGAATCGTTTTTGGGTGTAGGTTTGCAAGTGGGTAGGCAGCAGTGCTGAGGACGTCGCTGTAATTCCGCTTGTGAATCGAGGTGGTTTAAAAAAGGTTTTTTAATTTGTGCTGAATGTCTTTTTTTGTTGCTGAAGGAGGGGGGAGGAATCCTATGTCGTTTCTACTAGACGCTTCATGAACACGAAGTTAGGAGCTAATTAGTCACGCAGTAGTTTATCACGAAACACATTTTAAAGGTATGCTTAGCTACTCGGAGATTTCGAGGTCTTATGCAGTTTTGGAGTGCAGATTTGAAGAGGCAGATTAAAAAATAAAATTTGAGGAGTGGAGGCTGCTCGTTTGGAATGCTTTTTAAAATTTAAAATTATGATTGCTGGTTGCTTATTGTGGTAGGTTTTACACCTCAAACCGAACTGTTTTGACATTCAGTTTAGAATATACCTATTAGCAGGTTTAGGAAAGACAGATTTTGAAGACAACTTACGGGGTCGTAAAAAATTCCGTTTATGAGACTGTTGAGCTGCTACCGAATTTTTTTTTTTTACTGTGCGTTTTATTCTGTAATGAGTTTATCGAGAATTATAGGATATTGGGGATGGGGAACTATTAGTCCGAGAATGAAAAAGATTTAGACGCTGCGAGACCTAAACTTTGACTGTTTTATGAAAATCAACTTTAGAGTTTTTGGTCAGCTGTTTTTTTCTGAGATGTTTTTTGTGAATTAGTGAAAGAGGACCAGTTTCTTGAAAACTTCACCATTCAAGCATCGATTTCACGGAAAAGGCTCATTGCAGTACCGGATTTTTACATAAATTTTTAGAGCCTCGGCTTTTTTAGGCTGTACATTTAGGAATCCGGTTTCTGAGGGGTATTTTGGTTGGATGTTTTTTTGAATCACCACCGGATATTGTTGGTTGTCATGCATAAATTGTTTTCAGTACAGTACAGTCTAGGGCTATGTATTGCCAACATGAGATTGGCAATTTTGATCAGGACAAATTCTGCCATTTTCTAATTCTCATCCAGTTACGAGGTAATGTTCATGTATTCATTGCGCTTCTAGTTTGTTAAAGGTTCCTGCAAATTAAATAAGTGTGTAGCCTTAGATTCAGTGTAATTTTGCATACAGATTTTTTTGACTGTTTTAGCTCTTATTCTGCAGACTTTATTTTTCTGAAGTAGAATATCGTTTGCTGCCGTTTTTTATTACAGAGTGTGACCTGTTTGCGTTTTTTTTCTTTTCAACTTTATTAAGTAAAGGACGTTTATCGCAGCATAATAACGAGAAGATTTGATAGATCAAGGCTATTTAACTTTAGAATTATTCTGTGCAGTCGTCATCTGCGCGTGATATGCGTTTATCTTTGGAGAGTTTAGAAATTTTTTTTTGAGGAATTCAGCTGAAACTAATTAGTAATTGAAGCAACGAATATACATCGTTTTCATTCATGTCTGATGCTACTACAGTTATACTCTTAGAAATTCAGCATTGGTAACTATTTTTCTTTTTACGGCTTTTAGCTCTATTGTGTTTAAACCAAGCGTTTTTAGCACATACGTATTGCTGTGGAGGGATGCTTTTTTGTAATGGTAAATAAAACAGCAACATCGAGCACTTTACCAGCCAGCTCGTCTTGCATTTTTATTTCTTTTTTCATTCGTAGTGTAGAGTGTAGTAAGAAGGTTTGTGTTCTTTATAGGAATAAAAAGTAATGATAGTGCAGAATGCAGTGAATGAAGAAATAATTTCTTTTTTCTTTCGTTTCATTTTTTGCTTTTGGGATGGTTCTGTTAGAGTTCTCAGATTTTTTTTTTTCTTTTTTTGGTGCGAGGATATATGTGAGGTACTTTTCCTGAACAAAATTTTTTATTGTGAGAACCTTATAATTGTAACGGCTTTAATTGAAGGTAAAGGTATAAGGAAGTGGAGGTCAAGAACTGTTTATTTTTAAATCAAATAGTCATTTTCTGGCTTTTTTCAAATGGGCAAAATTTTGATCTACTGACTTATGCGGAAGATGTTCGAAACATTCAAGGAGCAGTATGGTATCAGATGCAGAAAGTGGAAAACCAGACCAGTAAATTTTGGAAAGAACCGTTATCAGAAATTCAATTGAGACAACAAAAAAGTTCTAACAAAATCCCAGTTGATAGAGCATTATTGTTTAGTCTTGTGTAATTATAGTTGGATCTAATTTTATTCATTCTG